AATGACATGCTACTATTTATTCAATGGCTTTTCTCGAGGTTATGTACTTTGCTTTATAAACCACTAAGCTTGTTTGCCTTTATCTGCCTGGTTATTCATAGGAATCCCCTTTGGGCACTTTGCTTTGTCATCTCCTGGGCAATAAATTTTATTATTATTTCTTATTTCAGGCATTATCAAACAGAACAAAATCTAAATAGCTTATCTGACATAATCGAGTCGCCAGACTATAATCTGGTTGAAATTGATTCCAAACCCTTCCTGACAGCACTATTCCCGAATGCTCAATCAGACACAACATTTATTATTCAACAGCGCAAATTCATTAAGTCTGCTTATCGTAAACTTAAAGCCGCGTTCTTAACCGGTGACCCGGTTAGGATGTTTGTTGTCAATGAGGATAAAAACGAAATTTCCACCGCATTAAGGGTATATTCTTCCTTCTATACCAAAACATACATTTTGTTGAATGAGCACCCCACTTTGAGTGAAATAGAAAAGTATAAATTGCTTCATGAATTTGGACATGCTACTATTATAAACACTAATATAACGTGCAGAAGGCGCACTGTTATGTTTCAAAGTATTGTTGCTTTTGTGGTAATTGCATGTGCTGTAACTAACTACTGGCTATTATTACCACTCGCAATTTTTTTATTTCTTGTCTCAGTTTCTGCCTGGGATATCTCTACAATTGAGGCGGAGGTCCACGCCGATAAATGGGCCATTCACGCGCTGAAAGATAGACAGGAACGTCTATCTGTTATAAAAAAACTGATTTCCAATTTTTCCTTTTTTGCGAAATCTTCAACATTAACCCGCGAGTTATTGAAACGGATCACCGGCGGCCAAGCTGTTCATCAAACAGAAGTTGAAGACTTTTTTTATAGCAAAAGCTATCCTATACGGGTAAAATTATTAAAGCGTCTTTTACAGAACGATAAATTTCTAGACGGCAGCGGGGGGATTCCTGCGGATGCCAGATTGTATGGACCTTATAACTACGGTCTGTTAGGCATAATGATATGGATCAGCCTTTACGTAAAATCGACATTCCCGTTGGAAGTATATTATATGGCTTTCGTGATCCTGCTAAAAATTTCATGGGATCAAACTATAAAATACCGGTTTGG